CTGAACCTGGCCGGGCCTGGGGGGCACCTTTGGGACATCAGCTTTGAGGGTTGGGCGTGTGTGGATTTGGGTTTACGGGCCCTGTTCTTTGCAGCAGCTTCGGGTGGTGTAGCTGTGGCCTCTTTGGAGAGCCCGCCTCTCTCTGCATCCACCAGGCTCTGTGCCTGGTGTGCCATAGAGATGGTGGCTGTGGTTCTTTCTCTCGCGGAATGAAGCTCCCTCCTGGCCCCGCGCTTCCCCCAGCTCCACACGGCGGGCCAGGGGCTCCTGCTGGACGCACGTGGACTCAGTGACTGCGTCCACAGTCTTGGCACTGAGGGACTTACCAGAGTCCATTCAGTGCTCCGAGAGTAGGTCTAGTGGTGTCAGCCTTGTGTGCTCGTTCTGATGACTTTGTGCCTGTCGTCTGTCTGACAGCACAGTTGTTCAGAAGAACCACAGGGTGTGCTTTGGAGGAGGAGCTTCCGTGGGCCTCGTGGTGTGGCAGGTGGGCCTCTTGTGGCTGGCGTGAGGCGAGTGTTGGTCTCTGCAGGCTCATGGGGACATATTCAGGGCCGACACCTCTTCAGAACCTCCCTGCCCTGGGCACCCCCAGGCACCCCTGGGTGCCCTAGGTTCTCTAAGAGTCCGCTGTCCTGCTGTGGCCTGGGCACTTTGCCCGAGGGCCCACCCCTGCAGGGATCTCATCCGCTCAGACGGGCTTGGAGCTGGAGTGGAATGAATTCACCTGTGAGGAAGGGACTCTCGCAGGGTGGTTAACAAATCCTGTCTCTAACGTTCATAGAAAGGCACCATATTTACCATTTTCTCCAGCAATATATTTTTAATTTTTTTTTTTTTTTTTGCGGTACGTGGGCCTCTCACTGTTGTGGCCTCTCCCGTGGTTTTTTTTTTTTTTTTTTTTTTTTTTTTTTTTGCGGTACGTGGGCCTCTCACTGTTGTGGCCTCTCCCGTGGCGGAGCACAGGCTCCGGATGCACATGGGCCCAGCCGCTCTGCGGCATGTGGGATCTTCCCGGACTGGGGCACGAACCCGTGTCCCCTGCATCGGCAGGCGGACTCTCGACCACTGCGCCACCAGGGAAGCCCTATATTTTTAATTTTTTAAATAAATTTTCAGTCCACCTGTTTAGCTAGGCCACAGCCATGCCGTCCTAAAGACAAATGAACTGAAATGGCTTTGCTTCCCTTTTTCTGCTGTTTTTGGGGCTGGGATGTAGCCACGGCCGCCACACGGCAGGTCCTCCCATCGCCCCCACCTCATGCCATCCTCCCTACAGGCCGCCTTCGGGAGCGCAAGGGGCTTCCACGGCTCCAGCAAGAAGGCGCTGGTCTTCCTCTTCAAGTTCCTGTCTGACCTCGTGCCCTTCGAGGCCCCCCGGTACCTGCAGGTGAGAGGCCGGCGGCACGTTTGGCTCAGGGCAGCCCCGCAAGTGACAGTCACAGAATGCAAACACCATCCTGGGGTGTCGGCGCACTCCTGGGGAGGCATGTTTCTTATAGTAAATGCCCAGAAACCAGCCGCGTGTGGTCCTGGGAGCTGGTGAGTGAGCAAAGGGGGCCTGGTGCCTGCATAGAAAGGGGGCCCCATACCACGGACACCGAGGCCAGCGAGTGCCCTGGGTCCCATGTGTGGTTTTTAAAAATGATATATTTTTATATATCTGGAAGAATCTGCCCCCAGTGGCTGTGGACGTTCCTTCTGGGAGTGGAAGACTTCACGCTCCAGTTTACGTTCTTTATCACCATGTACATTAGTCTCATGATTAGAAAGTGCCTTGCAGTGAGCTTTCTTCTGTAATCAGATGACTATAACCAGCATCCGCTTTGAGGGGTAGGGCACTTGGAAGATGAATCTCACCTTCTTTTTTTAATTAAGAAATGCGTATTTCATTTCAAAGAATACACGTGACGTAACTCACGCAGCCTGGAGTCTGGTCTCCCGGTGCATCTCATTCCCTGCCGCCCCTCCCAGCCCCGTGCTGAGACCCTCGCCCAGGACTCTGTCTGCCCCGCCTCCAGCTGTGGCCCTGGGGTCTTGGCTAATTCTTCAACTTTGTTGCCGTCAGTACGAGTGTCTCCCCCAGAAAGTCAGGACAGCTGACGGGCTGATGGACCTGCTCCGCCCTCTGCCCGCAGGTGCACATCCTCCACCCGCCACTGGTTCCCAGCAAGTACCGCGCCCTCCTCACCGACTACGTGGCGCTGGCCAGGACACGCCTGGCCGACCTCAAGGCAAGTCCCAGCCTCCCCTGCTGCCTGCCCCTCCTCTGTCTCCACGGAGGCCAGTGCCTATCTGGGTCCTCACATGTGCCCGTGTCCTTGCAGGTTTCTGTAGAAAACATGGGGCTCTATGAGGATTTGTCTTCAGCTGGGGACGTCACGGAGGTAATGTCCCGGGCTTGTCGCTGAGCGTCTCTGCGTGTCTGAGCCTTTTCTGTCTGGGCCCCGGTGTGTGTGCGGCAGCCGGGGTGAGCTATGCTCCAGGGCTTGTCCGGTCGTATCCACACTTCAGAGCAGCAGCGAGGGTCACCTTTTACAGGGATGCTTCTTCCAGGAGGTTCCCCCTTCCCGTGGTTTCACGGACGAAGTGGTCTGTAAAACAGTTGGGGAAGGGCGGTGTCATGTTCTTCTAGGAATTACAGAAAAAAGTGTGAACTGCATTTATGTAGACCAAATGTCGGATGGCCATATGCGGTGTGTGTGTGCTTTCCTAAGACACTTTTACTTCAAAGTTGCGAGTCTCTGGAGAGCCCTTGCTGTTGGACTGTTAGGCGAATACTTTAAGTTTTCTATTTAAGATTTATTGCTGTTCACAAGTTGCCATTTCATAATTTTTTAAATCTCAAAAATTAGGTCTTGGCACCTTCCCACCTGAAAATCTTGCATTGGGATCCTTGTCTCTCCCAGAAGGGCAGCAGGAAGCGGGGTGGAGTGCACAGACACATGGAACCTGGGGGTGGCTGTGGCTTCCCGAGGTGCTGAGCTCTCTGGGGCCAGGGCCACAGTTGGTCTCTCCTTGTGGTTTTGCTGGTATCAGGGAGTTTGTCTGCGTGTCTGCTTGCTCTGTCATGCCTCTCGCCCGACCACAGAACCGTGGCCCTGCTCTGCTCCTGCCTTTTCTTTTAAATCTTCTGTTTTTTTCCGTCCTCCGCACTTGGAGCCAGCCCCGCTGCCAAGCGTCCCAGGATGTTGAGAAGGCCATCATGGTGTTTGAACACACGGGGAAGATTCCCGCCGCCGTCCTGGAGGCCAGGTGGGGTTACGCTGCCGGAAGGGCTGGTGGGCAGGTGCTGCCGAGCCCCTGCTGTGACATGAGCTCCCTTGCGGAAAGCCCAGGTGCCCCGCAGCACAGACTGTTCAGAGGGACCAGACAGGCCCTCCCTTTGGCCACGATGACTTTTCTTGTGCATGCTTCAACGGTGACCGTGTGAAGCCAGCACAGGGAGTTGAATAGCAAAATTTTGTTGAATTTGGTGTGACGCCAAAACACGTTGAACTCTGGTTGCTACCAGTACGGGGTAGCTGTGGGGTAGCTTTCTTAAGGCTTTGCCTCTGAGAAACACTCACAGCTTCCAGCTCCCACGGTTGACCTCGTGGCCGCGGATGAACCCAGGTTCCAGGGCCATGCATCTGGAATCCTCCAGACTCTCAGGGTGCAGGTGGTCACCAGCACAGAGTTCCCTTTGTGTGAAATGTCCCAAAACAGTGGGAAAGAAAACTTGAAAACGTGATATAATGTCATAGCCTTGAAACGTGACACCACGTGGCCCACGCTCTGGCCTGCAGGGACGGCCCTGGACGGTCATTGCCCTCACTGAGGGTCCTCTGGTCGAGGTGGGGCACCCCTGAGCCTGGCCTTTTCTGTTGCAGCATATTCCGGAGGTCCTACTACCTGTCCCACTTTCTCCCCGCCCTGCTCACACCGCGAGTGGTCAGTACACGTCGTCGTGAACGTGGGGCTGGGTCGGCAGAGAGCGGGGTCCCTGTCGGCGTCTCACCCAAGTCCTGTCTTCCCTCTCAGCTCCCGAGGGTCCCTGATTCCCGGGCCGCTCTCATAGAGTCCCTGAGGAGGTACGCATGGCAGCGCGGCTCGCCTGGGGGCTAACAGCGCAAGGAGCTGTGGCTCTTCTGTAGAGAAATGTGTTTTGTCACATGTACGCTTTACTTATAAAAAGTTGGCTCAAAATTAGTCAGTTAAAATGTTAAAAAGAAAATTTCTTTGATTCTGAATATCACAACTTAGCATTTTTCAATGAACTTTTAGGATGATTAGTCTGGGAATTAAAGAAAATAGTGTTTTTGCTACATAATCATTGGGAAAGGAGAATTTGAGGAAAGAAGGAAAAGGGAGAGGTGAGAGCCGTCCGCTCTGATGATGTGGGGAGAGTGGAGACCACGTGTAGAACGGGGGTCCCGTCCCCCGGCTCACACTGAGGACCTCAGGAGCAGAGAGGTGGTAGAAACAGCAAACGATAAACCCTGTTTTCCAGTGTCTTATGGGAAGTGATGGGTCCTGTGAGAAGATTGAAAAGATAAAGGGCCTAGAAAGTCAAAATAAGCTTTTTCATCTTACGATCAGGTGATTCTCTGGGATCCTTACTTTTATTTATTTTTGGCATAAGATATTCCAAAAGTAAAGGGACCAGTAAAAAAACCACCCCTATGCCCCATTCGCATTAATATTTTTGCTCTCTTTCCTTTTTTTTCCTGAAATAGTCCAGATACATCTTAGCCCAGGTCTCTGATCCCCTCCACTTTTCCTCCAACAAAATCATTATCCTGAAGTTGGTGCATAAATTTTTCCTCTATGTTTTATCCTTTTGTTTTATATGTTTATAACTGTAAATCGTGTCCACACACAAACACCACACAGTGTGGTCTTGTGTGTTTTCAAAGTGGATCTGATAGCAGTGTGTGGTGTTCTGTGACTTGCATTTTCACTCCCCCCGTTGGTCGTGTGCTCTGGTTTGTTTAATGCTGTGTGGAATTCTGTTGTGTATGCAAACTGCCACGTCGCACACCCCTGGGTGCAGGCCACATGCCTACGGAATAAATAGATGAACTTACCACCCTGGAGTTGGACCCTTGGGTTACTTCCACTTTTATGCTTTGTTAACGGTGCTTCAGTGAACACCCTTGGCTATATCTCCGTGAAAGCTTTGCAATTTTGAGTGCAATTTCATTGATTTTATAGGTTAATTTGAGGATATTTGGCTTTATTATGGTACTGAGTTTTTCCTTCCAGGAACGTAGTACATCTTTGTTTATTCAAGTCTTTTACTAGTGTTTTGTGTTTTTTCTTTATAAAACTCCTGTAAATTTTTGTCAGCCTTGCTACTCGGTACCTGTAGGTTTTGTTGTGAACTGCATGTTCTTTTCTGGCTTCTTCATCGGCTCTTGCTGAGGTGTAGGTGCCCTTGTTTCCATTAACTGTTGAACTTACTCCCAGTGGGTGGTGAGATTTTCTATGCAGTCACGCTGTCCACAAGATCAAGTTTGCCTCCTCCTGTCTGATTATATTATGCCTCTCAGTGTTTGTCACTGTATTGGGTAGGATTTTAGTACAATGAGCAATCGTAGGAGTGAAAGCTGGCCTCGTGTCTTGTTCCTGGCTGAGACAGGGCTGCTTCTAGAGTTTTACCATTAATATATATATATATCCTCCTTACCATATTAAAAGAGTTCCCTCTTTGAATTTGCTAAGGACTTTTAGCAGGAATTCATGCTTTTTTTTTTTTTTTTGTCATCCCTTAAGATGATTGTGCTGTTCTCCTGTCATCGGCTATGTGATAATTACATTGATAGGTTTTTCCACTGTCTTCGCGTTCCTGGAATAGCCCCTAATTGGTAACTGTTTTTTGTTTTATAAACTGCTGAATTTGGTTTACTGATACTTTATTTAGGATTCTGGCATCTGTGTCTCATTCTGTTAGACTTACCTTGGCTGCTTTGCCATTAAGGTATTTGGTTCCTCATGGAATGAACCGGGTAGCCTTCCCTCTTTCCTGTCCCCTGAAATAGTTTGTCACACAGGGATCATGTGTCCCTTAAAGTTTGGTAAAGAATGGCTGCAAAATCATCTGTTCCTGGTGTCTTTTGTGGAGGCAAAACTTTTGGCTGCTGACTCAGTTCCTTGAATGGTTATTGGTTTAGTCAGGTTTTTTATTCTCGAGTTAGCTTTTATATATATTTCTAGAAAATTGTCCATTTCATCTAAGTTTGCAAATCTATTGATGTATCATTTTTCATGATATTCTATTGTGATTTAAAAATTTTGTCTACCTCATCTGTACTTTTCATCCCTTCTTAAAACTTTTTTCATGCTAGTGTTAATTTTGCCTTTTTTTATGACTCATTCATTACTTAAAGACTTGTCTGTTTTATTAATTTTATCACATAACCAGCTTTTAATATTGTGTCCTTCCTGCTATTTTGGGTTTTTTGAATAAATTTATTTATTATTTTTATTTTTGGCTGCATTGGGTCTTTGCTGCCGTGCATGGGCTTTTCTCTAGTTGTGGCGAGTTGGGGCTTCTCATTGAGGTGGCCTCTCCTGCTGTGGAGCACAGGCTCTAGGCACGCGGGCTGCAGTAGTTGTGGCACGTGGGCTCAGTAGTTGTGGCTCACGGGCTCGAGAGTTCAGGCTCAGTAGTTGTGATGCATGGGTTTAGCTGCTCTGTGGCATGTGGGATCCCCCCAGACCAGGGCACGAACTCACGTCCCCTGCATTGTCAGGCGGAGTCTCAACTGCTGTGCCACCAGGGAAGCCCCTCCTGCTGTTTTAAAAAAAAATCTTCTATTTGTTTTTAGATTTTAACTTTATTATTTACCTTTTGTTTTCTTTGTGTTAACTATGTTGTTCTTTTTATAACTTCTTAAAGTGGTGGTTTAATTTATTGTTTTATAACTTTTCTTGTGTTTTAAAACAGGCATATTTTAATAAATTTTACATCCAGATATCACTTTAGCTGCCTTCCAAAAGTTTCAATGTGTAGTTCTTAACACTGTCGGTCAGTTCTAAATAAATACTCAACCATTGTGCTATGATTTTCTCATAATTTGTAAGTTAGTTTTAAGTAAATTTTTTAAAATTTTAAACATTTAGGTATTTGCCCATGAGTTTTTATTGTTGAATTCCAATGTTAATTGCATGTTTCACAAAGAATATGATTCACTTTATATGGAGTTTTTTCTACTTGTCAAGACTTCCTTTCAGAATTTGCTTGGAATTTGCAGACATTCTGCGCATCCTTGAAAACAACACATGTCCTTCAGTTTGGGACTGTAGGGTCTGTCTGTTAAATTGTGTTTATTCTCAAGTTTTCTGTATCCTGAATAGTTTTCTGTGTCTTTGGTTTATCAGTTTATTGTGGAGGTGGTTGTGATTTTGTCAGTTTCTCCTTATAATTCTGTCAGATTTGTCTTGTTGCAAGAAAGTTTGTAATTGTTAAAATACAGGCTTCTCTTACTGGGTGTTTTTCCCTTTGTTATTATGTAATGTCTCTGTTAGGCTTTTTACCTTAATTTCTGTTTTGTCTGCTATTAAAACCAGCTTTTTTGGGGGGGGGTATTTGTATGGTATAGCTTCTTAATTTTTTTTTTATTGGCTGCGTTGGATCTTTGTTGCTGCACGCAGGCTATCTGTAGTTGTGGAGAGCAGGGGCTACTCTTTGTTGCAATGCCTGGGCTTCTTACTGCGGTGGCTTCTCTTGTTGAGGAGCATGGGCTCTAGGTGCGCGGGCTTCAGTAGTTTTGGTACATGGGCTCAGTAGTTGTGGCTCACGGGCTTAGTTGATCCACGGCATGTGGGATCACATGTCCTGTGCCTCGGTAGGTGGATTCCCAACCACTGCGCCACCAGAGAAGTCCCTAATTTTTTGACATATTTATTTCTAGTCTTTAAAAAAGAGTTTTGTCAGAGTTAAATACGGATATAGATTAAAGAGTCCTGGCAGCAACATGGATGGACCTGGAGATAATCATACTAAGCGAAGTAAGTCAGACAGAGAAAGACAAATACCATATGATATCAGTTATGTGTGGAATCTAAACTATGACACAAATGAAACAGAGACAGACTCACAGACATAGAGAACAGACTTGTTGCTGGGGAGTGCAGGGGTGTGGAGCCGGAGGGATGGAGTGGGAGTTTGGGATTAGCAGATGCAAACCATTATATATGGAATTGATAAACAACAAGGTCCCACTTGAAGCACAGGGAACTATATTCAGTATCCTGTGATAAACCATATTGGAAAAGAATATGAAAAAGAATATATATGTATGTATTACTGGGTCACTTTGCTGTACAGCAGAAATTAACACACATTGTAATTCAACTATACTTGTATAAAATTTTTTTTTTAAAGTTAAAGAGTCAGATACTTCTATGAAGTTTATTAAGAGAAATAGCCAGGGGCTTCCCTGGTGGTGCAGTGGTTAAGAATCTGCCTGCCAGTGCAGGAGACATGGGTTCTAGCCCTGGTCCGGGACGATCCCACATGCCGCGGAGCAACTAAGCCCGCGTGTGCCACAACTACTGAGCCTGCACTCTAGAGCCCGCAAGCCACAACTACTGAGCCCGTGTGCCACAACTACTGAGCCTGCGCACCTAGAGCCCGTGCTCCCAACAAGAGAAGCCACTGCGATGAGAAGCCTGCTCACCACAACAAAGAGTAGCCCCCGCTCGCCACAACTAGAGAAAGCCCGTGCGCAGCAACAAAGACCCAACGCAGCCAAAAATAAGATAAAATAAAATAAATTTATTTTTTAAAAGCAGAGAGAGAGAAATAGCCACTCCCCACCCATCCCTGCCACTTCACTTTCTTTCTGGAAGCAAGCATTTTCAACTCAACTGATTTTTTGATATTTCGCCCCGAATCTCCAAATAACATTATTATTTTGGTATTTACTTTTTCTGTTTTAGTTTTCTTTCCTTTACCAATACACATAGCTGCCCTTCCTGTGTTAGTTTTGAAAAACTGTTTTTTAGGGCTTCCCTGGTGGCGCAGTGGTTGAGAGTCCGCCTGCCAATGCAGGGGACACGGGTTCGGGCCCCGGTCTTTTACTCTGGAAATTCATATCCTTCAGTACTAAGGGATTTTCTTGGATACTTAAAACCTTTTTTTTTTAATGAAAAATTTAAGACAGAAAAGACGAATAGAATCTATCACCCAGATTTGTTATCAATAAATGGGCAATCTTGTTTCATCTATAGCCTTCAAACTCACCCACCCACCATTCTGGATTATTTTGAAGCAAATCCCAGACACTGATTATTTCAACTTGGTTTATTTCATTGCAGATGTCCTCTTTATGTCCTTTTTCTTCTTAGAACTGCTATTTTTTAGATATTAGATCTCCTATATTGTCTTCTGAATTTTTCTCTTTTGTCCTATTTTGCGTATCTGTTCTGTTTTGTTTTTTCCTCTCCTTTCTGAGAGATTTCTTCAAGTTTACCTGCAAGTTCTTTTACTGAGTGTTTCATTTCTGCCATCAGATACTCCTTTGTACAGCAGTCCATTCTTCTTCTTTTAAAATTTTAATTTAATTAATTTATTTATTTAGGCCGTGTTGGGTCTTTGTTGCTGCGCGCGGGCTTTCTCTGCTGGCGAGCGGGGGCTACTCTTCGTTGCGGTGTGCGGGCTTCTCACTGTGGTGGCTTCTCGTTGCAGAGCATGGGCTCTAGGCATGTGGGCTGCAGTAGTTATGGCAGTTGGGCTCAGTAGTTGTGGCTTTTGGGCTCTAGAGCGCAGGCTCAGTAGTTGTGGTGCACAGGCTTAGTTGCTCCACGGCATGTGGGACGTTCCCAGACGAGGGCTGGAACCCATGTCCACTGCATTGGCAGGCAGATTCTTAACCACTGCGCCACCAGGGAAGCCCCCAGCAGTCCATTCTTGTTTCACAGCTGCAGTGTTTTGTCTTACCTCTCTGAAAATTTAATAAAAGTGATGAGTGACAGTTTCTTTTCTGTGAATTTCTCCGCTTCCTTGAATTTGTTCTTTCTTTTTATTTGCATTGGTTTCTGTTTTTTCTTTTCTTCTTTCTGGTTTCTGTTTTTTAAGCTGAAGGCTTTCCAGTGCCCAGGGCAGTGGGTGGTGCCCTCAGTTCCTAGTTTCCAGCCGGACTCCCTGCCTCCCTCCAGCCCTGTGTGGATTCTCACTCGACCACAGCTGTGTCTCTGTTCTTCTGCTTGAATGTTGTCGCCACGGTTTGCAGCACTGTTGGGGGGCGGGGCAATGCTCTGTGGTTCTTGTCCTCGTACTCGCTGCTGTGCCATGAGAACGTGCCAGCTGTGTCCGTGCCCTCATCACAGGACTTGTGTTTTTAATGACATTAACTGGATGTTTTCCTTAGTTAGCATTTTTCATTAAAAGTAATATAAGTTCACCTTTAAAATTTGGAAATTGCCAAAACTTGAATGAGAGAAGTGAAAATCATTTATAATCTCACTACACAACAAAACCTACTGTTGGGAGATGTTTATATAGGACGTATGCAGTAGTCAGGACCGTTTGAGTCCATATGGACAGTGTTTTTCCTAAACATAGGGTCATGCTGTGGGGTGTTGTATAATTTATTTAGATTTACTCTGTTGCATATTTCTGTTTTATGATAGTCTTTGGGATTGTAAGTTTGAGAATTAATTTGAGTCATAGTTGACTATTTTAATGTTTTCTTCTGATCCAGAGCAGAAAAAATTCCCCCCTCCTTATACTCCACCTACCGCCAAGCCTGCTCCACTGTCGGAGAGAAGAAGCCAGAAGGTAAGGTCAGTGGGTCGCTTGGTTACCAGACGTGCCCACCTCATCTCCACTTCCCTGATCACGAGACGTGTCGGTGGCACCTTGGTCCATCTGGTCTGGTTCTGTCATGCTGGGTCTGGTCACAGCTGTGGCTTCAAAGACTGCCCAGCACCAGCCCTGGGACAGCTGTGACACCAGGAGGGCTGCCTGTGATGTCATTCCCTGAACATGCATGCAGTACAAAATCCACTTGACCATTTCTCATCTTTGTGTGCCCCGCTGAGGCTGTGATGTGGTTTCTGTTTGCCTGTCTGAACTCGATTTTTTTTTTTTTTTTTTTTTTTTCGCGGTACGTGGCCCTCTCACTGTTGCGGCCTCTCCCGTTGCGGAGCACAGGCTCCGGACGCACAGGCTCAGCGGCCATGGCTCACGGGCCCAGCCGCTCCGCGGCATGTGGGATCTTCCCGGACCAGGGCGCGAACCCGTGTCCCCTGCATCGGCAGGCGGACTTCCAACCACTGCGCCACCAGGGAAGCCCTGAATTCGAGATTTAAATTCAGGTGACCAGCCAGGCCCGAGGCCCGTGGTGCTTGTGCTGCACCGTGTCTTAGTAGGGGGTCTCCCATGGCTCTTTGGCCGTTCGGATGGTTGGGGATCTTTCTGCTTCTAGGGGACAGTGATGTAGACCTGGGCCAGTGTGTGAAAGCGTGCATCATTGCTTGGAGCAGCTGGGCAGGCTGTCCGCACCCCATCGCCCCAGGAACGAGGCGCCATCAGGACAGGGCCTGGTCTGTCGGTTTTGAAATGGTGCAGCTGTTTGCTGGTCAATCCCTCTGACGCCTGCAGGGCCAGTTAGGCTGCATGAGCAACTGCAGCTCTGTTTTCTAATTCTGTCTACCAGAACCCTCCTTGCACAATCTTCCACGGTTTCTGACAGCCAGGGAGACCCACACCTGTTTGGACCAGTACTGAAACATCTTGCAGACAGGATGCCAAGGGGGCCGTAGGGCTGTGTCCACTGTTGAGTGAGGCGTTGCCCTCCTTTCCTAACCCCATGGTCCTGCTTTTGGAGGCTTCTAGAATGTTTTCTAATGCTGTATCTCATAGGGCTAATATTTTTCAGTAAACCTATTAAATGTGTGTTGAGGACTGGTAATCACCTCTAATATACTGATTTTAACATCCTGTTGTAAAAAACAATATCACAGTGTTACATAAAAGTTTGAGAAACAGGAACTAAACCATCATCTGTACATAATTCTGCTCTCCCCGCCCAGCCTCCCTCCACATGCATTTGGTCTTTATTCATTACATACCTGCTTTTTACACTTGTGGTGATAGTGTGTATAGAACCATGGTTTTTCTTAAACCTCCTTATGAATGTTTTTACTTTGATAGGACATTAACATCCGCCGTCCGGGGAGAGCGTTTCACTTCCCTCCTCATAGGGCCCCAGTCCTCTGTGTGCCCTCTGCAGGGAGAAGCCAGGGACAGCGTCAGTTCCGTGTGCTTCCTATCTGATCTAACCTGTTTAATTGTTAAAATTACCTCCTGTCTCTCAGATGCAGCCTCGCGAAGGGAGGTGGAGCCCAGCTGTGCGGAGGAGCCGCTGGGCCTGCTCACAACTGCCCTGCGAGAGCTCAGGGCCTCAGTGACAGATCCCACCCAGCGTGACGGTGAGGACGGGGCTGTGGGTCGGGCCACCCGCAGCGGGTGTCCGTGGGTGCACAGGCCAGTCCCGATGTGCTCAGAGCTTGAGGCTGCTGTTGCCTGGAGTGGCCGTGGTCAGTGCCTTTTCCCTGCATTCAGCATCTGGTAGTGAACCCGGCCACGGCCTGGTGGGTGTGGAGCGTGCCTCCTTTCTGACACTCAGGCTGTCCCAAAGTCTGGGTAGAATATGGTTATTCTGCTACTTGGCATCCCAGTGGGACAGGAGACATGGAGGAGGAAAGCTGCATTTCTGGCTGTGAGGCTTGTCTCCTTCCTTTACTGCCTGGGTGGCTGTGCTCTTCAGCACTGGGCCTCTGCTTCTGGGACTGTTTCCTATGAGGGGCCTGGAGGACAGGCGTGAGCAGTTCAAAGCGCTCAGTGGCCACAGCGGTCCACAAGTAAAATGTTAGGTTCCGGTGTTTTTAGAGTTTTGCTATGCTAAATGTAGAAACTAAAATACATACGGCATGTTTTTACCTAGTAACTTCAGTAGATGTTTATTTATTATGAATTCATTTAATTCCTATGAGCGTCTCACGGAGGAAATACAGTTGACCCTTGAACAACACAGTTGGTTTGTTTTTTTTTTAATTTATTTATTTTTGGCTGTGTTGGGTCTTTGTTGCTGCACGCAGGCTTGTCTCTAGTTGTGGCGAGCGGGGGCTGCTCTTCGTTGCGGTGCGCAGGCTTCTCACTGTGGTGACTTCGCTTGTTGCGGAGCACGGGCTCTAGGTACGCGGGCTTCAGTAGTTGTGGCTCACGGGCTCTAGAGCGCAGGCTCAGTAGTTGTGGCGCACGGGGGCTTGGTTGCTCCGCGGCATGTGGGATCTTCCCGGACCAGGGCTCGAACCCGAGTCCCCTGCATTGGCAGGCGGATTCTTAACCACTGTGCCACCAGGGAAGTCCGCAACACAGTTTTTTTTTTTTTTTTCGGTACGCGGGCCTGTTACCACTGTGGCCTCCCGTTGCGGAGCACAGGCTCCGGACGCGCAGGCTCAGCGGCCATGGCTCACGGGCCCAGCCGCTCCGCGGCATGTGGGATCCTCCCAGACCGGGGCACGAACCCGTGTCCCCTGCATCGGCAGGCGGACCCCCAACCACTGCGCCACCAGGGAAGTCCCCGCAACACAGTTTTTAACTGTGTGGGTCCACTCAGTATATGCAGATTATTTTCAGTAAATATATGGAAAATTTTTGGAGATAAATGACAATTGCAAAAATTTCAGATAAACCACATTGCCTAGAAATATTGAGAAAATTAGGTATGTCGTGAATGCATAAAATACACATAGATTCACATGACATGCAAAATACACGGAAGGCTGTGAGGAGTTAAGCTTGGGGTCAGAAGTTACGCACAGATTTTCACCTGTGGTGGAGGGTTGGCAGCCCCAGCTCTGCACTGTTAGCTCTGCCTCCGCTGTGGTCGTCCTGAGGGCCCAGGATGTCCCCTCGTGGTCAGCGTGGTCCTTCCAAACTCTGCTCCTGCAGCACGTGGTTCTTGGGGAGGTCGAGGCCCGTGTGGGGCCCCAGCGCTGCCGCAAGATGGTCAGCCAGCCAGGCCTGTGCTGGCAGAGCCGCTGAGGCTGGGCCGGGCGGCCGCAGCGGGCGTCAGTGTGTACAGAGGTGGCTGGCGGGCGAGGGGCACGGGGTATAGACACAGGGGCCGTGGTGACGTGAAGAGCTATGCCAGCCCCTCAGAGAAGCCTGGCTACCTGCACCACAGAAAAGTGGTTCCACTGCTGGCCGGGCGGGGACGAGAGCGGCCCCAGGGTCAGTTTAGAGTGTGGCCCCTGAGGTGGTGTGTGGCGCCCCTGCTCATGGCGCCGGTCCCTGCCTTGCAGCGTTGTTGGCTCAGATGGCAGTGATCTCTGAACAGCTCCGCTCTGCCCTGGGCCTCGGTGAGGATGACAGCGACTTCGAGGGGGCCCCGGTTCAGCTCAGCGTCCAGGCCCCCAAGCTGCAGCCAGGGGAGCAGAGGGTGAGTGTGGGGCGCCAGGGAGACCACATGTGAGTCGAGGGTTTCAGGCCGGTGCTGCCGTTTGCGTACAGACTCTGTGTTTGGGAGGCAGTTGTGGCAGAGGTTGCTCGTGGCCCTTTGTGGGCAGTTTTGCTGACCCTGCTCTCTGCTGAGAAGCTCCATGATGACCCCTGGGGGCCCCTCCCGGGGTTTGGGGATTCCTGTGCCGAGGCGTTGCAGCCTCTTCTCCGGATGGGGGCCCGTTTTGCAGTCTCGTCAGCTCCACTGGGGCCCTGTGCGTCCAGGGTGGAAACGCTGTGATGTGGGTTTGCGGCCCTGAGACCTCTCCTCTCTCAGGTCGTGGATCTCCTGCTGACGTCTTTCTGTCAGAACCTCATGGCGGCCTCCAGCGTTACCCCACCAGACAGGTAGAGGCTAGGTGGTCTCACCGGGTGGTTTGGAGCTGTCCTGGGGCGGCCTGGGTGCTCGTGATGAGAGTGGCCGTCGTTCCTGGTCCAGCTCTGAGCCTTGGGCCCTGGTCCTGCCCCCCGACTTCGCACTGCGCTGGGGAAGGGCCTGGGTGGGGGCGCGGGGCTGACTTATCCAGCAGGGACGTGGCGACGGTCAGCGTTGAAACAGGAGACCCTCCTGTTTGGGGAACAGGCTGGTTCTTTCTTCAGTCTCTGGTGCCTGACTGCTCGTCCACCAGGCTCCAGGCGGGCAGTGCAGGGCCAGGCCTGGCCGCTGCCACTATTCTCTGTGGCTGTCCCCACAGGCAGGGCCCCTGGGCCGCCCACTTCGTGAGGACCCTCTGCAGACGCAGGCTCCTGCCGGCTCTGCTCAGCAGGCTCTGCCAACTGCTCCGTCACCAGGTAGGGCTGCCACCGCCTCCAGCCAGGAGGTGGGCTCCCTCCTGCGCCCCCAACGCTGAACCTCTTTTCTTTTTAAATATTTCTGTATTTATCTACGTATGTACGTATGTATGCATGTGGCTGTGCCCGGTCTTCGTTGCGGCATGCAGGCTCTTAGTTGTGGCACGCAGGCTCTTTAGTTGTGGCACACAGGCTCTTAGTTGCAGCACACAGAATCTTTAGTTGCGGCACGCGGGCTCTTGCAGCATGTGGGATCTTTAGTTGAGGCACGCGGGCTCTTAGTTGCGGCATGTAGGCTCTTACTTGTGGCATGTGGGATCTCGTTCCCTGACCAGGGATCGAACCCTGGCCCCCTGCATTGGGAGCGTGGAGTCTTTAGCCACTGGACCACCAGGGAATGCCCTAAACCACTCTTCTTTCCTATTTTAGGGCCCGAGCCTGAGTGCCTCACATGTGGTGGGGTTGGCTGCCCTGGCCGTCCACCTCGGCGAGTCCAGGTCTGCCCTCCCGGAGGTGCATGTGGGCCCTCCCACCCCTGCCAGGGGCCTGCCCGTCCCCGAGCTCTTCGACATCCTCCTGCCCTGTAGGACCCAGGAGTCCTCAGCCCTGTGTCTGAAGTGAGTGTCCCTCTTGTCACAAGTAACACATGTTCATCAGACAAAATTAGCACAGACACACATGCTGTACAGATCCACTCTTTACCATGTTGGTCTGTACCCTTCCAGAATCTTATCTTGGGTGTATTTATGTGTGTGTTGGTATCTTCAGTTATAAAAGTGAGATCACCCTACTTTGCTACCTGCTTTTCAAGATGCTCACAATGGGCTGCAGGTGCCCTTCTCTGGGTCAGGTGGCCAGCGGCTGGCTGGACCTGTCCCTCAGGTTAGGTTCTGGGGTCTCCCTGTGGTGAGCAGCTTTCTCTGGGGGGCGTTTCTGCACACACAGCTGTCCCATCCAGAGGGTTTTGAGACCCATCGTCCAGTTCCATGCTCATCCACTCACTATACTGCGTGCTAGGCCCCCTCCCGGGACCCGGTCAGTCACAGGCAGCCTGTAGCCTGGGGTCGGCGGGTGTGAGAGATGGGCGGGGGTTGGGTGAGAGTGGCCATCCCATGGGCAGAGCCCTGGGGGAGTCCACGTGTGACTCAGGCCCGAAGGGCTTACTGTGGCTGCTGAGGTCAGGACGGAAGCCGGAGGCTCCGGTGGGAGATGTTGGGACCAGGGTCGCGGCTCACAGACAGAGCTGGCATTAGGAGAGACAGGGAGAGCTGAGCACAGGAACGCGGCCTGGGACCAGTGCCCGCCAGCTGTCTGCGCCATCCACAGCAGCACCACTGACAAGTCCGCACTGGGAGTCGGGCCCCTTCCTCGCCACAGTCCTGACTCTCTGAGCCTCATGGTCACCTCTGTTCTCGGCAGCCTCTCCCTCCCACACGTTACAGCCCACCGTGGGCGGGCAGAGGCTGAGTTGGAAACTGGACGTGCTTCACTCTGGCTCTGAGGTTCTTTTAGGCGGTAACAGTGAATAATTTGCCATCACGCAGGTGAACGAGAGCCTTACGCAATCACCCAGGGAACACCCACCTCGCACCTCCTCACTTCATTCCCTTGGTTCTGACCGTGGCTCTTGACACGCTGGAAAAGCCAGCCCTTACGTGCAGAGCCTGCGTGTTCATGTGTTTTCTGAGTCTCTCGTCAACGTGGAAAGAGCTCAGGCCAGACGGCCTGCCTGGGGGCTCTTCCCCGAGGGCTCGGAGGAGCCGGCCCGGCTGGGCCTGAGGCTGAGCGCCGAGCGGCCGTCGGGGTGGGAGGCCGTCAGTCCACGTCGTGCAGTTCACGCTCTCCTTCCACCTGTTTTTTTGCGTGGATCCCATTTCTGTGTTATAATCTGTTTTCTATTTTCAGATTTTGTACAGCGGCAATTTCTTATTCTTTGTGTAAGTTTTCTTCCCAGTCACGTGACATCTCGTACAGCTGTTTGTCTCCAGGCCTTATAAAAAAGGTGAGTCTTGTGGGTTCCTTTTTCTGCTCTCCTGTAAGTTCCAGTCTTGTACGGGTTTCTGGCCTGAAGCCTGTGTGGCCTCCATCTCGGCACCGGCCTCATTCGTAGTAGACTGTCTCCTGGCGCCACCCTGCCGTCTGCTTGGGTTGAACACTGCCTTTTCCTTCCTTCTGAGTTAAGAGGAGGGGCTGGAAGGTGACAGCTGCAGATGTCCCTCCTTATTTATGAAGTAGGCGAGTTAAAAGACTGACGTTCGTAGAAAGTGTGTCAGTATTTAAAGAAGCACCCTGCGCTTCCTCTGAAGACGGCCTGGGAAGCCGCGTGTTAGAATCCTCAGGGTCAAAGGCGGCGGTGCCGTCACAGCGGGAACCAGTGTTGCTGCGCCTGCAGAGCTTTAGGGAACGTCTCCCATGAGGTTCGAGCCTGGTTCAGAGTTCCAGGCTCCGCGTCGGACTCCTGGGCACTGCTGGGAGCTCCACTGCGTCAGGAGCAGCCTGGGGTCCAGGTGCCCCTCTGCTCCCGGTCCCAGGTGCCGATATTTTTAAGTGTGGGATAGAGATCCGGAAGAGTGGCCCAGAAGAGGAAGTCCTCGCCCCGTGTCCCAAGCTCCCCGAGGTCCCCTCGAGCAACCTGTGGCTCTGTCAGCATGAGGGCGGGGGTCCGACCTCCTAAGGCAAAGACGTGCGGCTCAGTGCATCACCGAGGGAGCATCTCCTGTAGCCAGTGAGCACACTTCTTAGTGAGAATGCCGGTGCCGGCGGGTCACGGGGGACGGCCGTGCGCGGCTGCAGGGCGTGGCAGCTCAGAGATGTGTGGTCAGGGCTGGCTGCTCACTGAGACCAGGGGTTCCTCGCTGCCAGCCGAGCGCAGCCAGGCCCCTGTGTGTTTCCTCAGTCTCACAGCACACACGCCACTGTCTTTTTTCAGTTCCAGTTCATGGTGTTCAGATGGTTCTCAGAGGCCCGAGACCCTCCCTCTTGGGAAGACCCGGCCAACTCTCCCTGGTGGCCCCTGTGCCTGCCCTCCGTGGACTGGCAGCAAGCCGCCCTCTGCCTGTGGAAGCAGAGGACCTTGCGGGAACTGCTGAAGCAGGAGGGACTCCATGTAGGTCCCACTGTCCCTTCCCCTGCTTTGCTCCTCCAAGCTCTGGGCTCCGTGGGCGCAGGACATGGGCGGCGGGCCTGACCCGACAGAAATCACTCCTGGGGTCGTCAGATTTTAAACACGCCTGCCAGGCTGCGAGCTGGGGCCGGGCGTCTCTAAGCACAGTCACCGGAAGCTTGGCTGCTCAGACAACGTGCCCATGTGACTGTTTCTGCCACCTCTTCATACTTTTCATTTATTTCTTGGATGTTTGCCTGCTTGTTTTGGTCTTTAGAGAAAAAGTTGTATCGTTTTATTGTATATTTTTTTCAACTCTTTTATTGTTAATAATCTGTCATACAAGAGTAGGTCTGGCCATCTGTCTGACACCAGGAACAACGAGGCAGGAGCAGCCGCGCCTCGATCACTGTCTACACACACGTCCCTGCCGGTGCCGCACGGCCCCGGCGTTTACACACACTGCGTGTGCTGCATGCATGTCCCTGGGACATGTTGTTACACACAGTGTGAGGGTTTTTTTTTGTTTTCGTTTTTTAATTCTGATGTCATTTATTGGCACAAAAATTATTCAGATACAACATGGTGTCTAGACACGGCTATACTTTATATTTTGTGCATTTAGTTTATATTTCTTTTGCTCCTAATTCCCAACATGTACCAGACCTTCCTTCTCTGTGTCAGCAGTGTGAGGTTTTGAGGTTAGTCTGTGCTGACGTGTGGAGCCGTGACTATTGGAAGCATGTTGTCACATCAAGTTTATCTTTTGGTTATTTGCACAACTCAGTGAGCTAGAAAGTGATCGTTGTGCAGATGCTGCGGGCTGCCCGGGACCGGGCAGCAGTGTTGAGGACTGAGTTTAAAGACCAGTGTGAACAGTTCTGGGCAGCTTCCCGTTCAGAGTTAAATGACCGGTTGGTTCTTCATCTGGGCTTGGTGCCAGCCTCCCAGTCTAACCCTGGGAGATGGCGTAGGACGATACTTCTGACAGACACACAGGAGACCTCCAGCTAATATGAGAGGGCAGCATCACAGCCCCAACCTGTGGCTTCTGTGCTCTGTCCTTGCTGTGGTGGTCACTTGGTTCTTTTCTCTCAGTTGACTTACAGAGACTGGTTACAGCTGGAACTAGAAATTCAGCCTGAAGTTGATTCTCTTTCAGATACAGAAAGGTAAGTGTTTAAAGGATCTACCCTTTAAAATGTTAATACAGTTTTCTACACTGTCTTAAGTCTAAGTTTTGTCATTACATCCTCAGTTTAATGTTCAGTTTAACATAAGTGTATGAGTACAGTTTTATTCATTCTTTTATTCGAGAAACACTTATTGACCTACAGTTTGCCAGACACGTCTAGAATGTTCTAGAAGCTGGGGATGCAGTGTGAACAAGACAGATGGAGCACACGAGGCACGTACAGGGCTTCCCACTTGCACTCTGCCCCAACGCCCCTAAGCCGTTCTTCCGAGGAACTGTGCAGGACCGGGCCCTGTGTGAGCCTGGGGGCGGGCAGGGTGATAAATAAGGCGGATTAGAGGGCACTGAAGACACCAGATGGGGCTTTGGGTGCTGGTGCCGGCGGGCAAGGAGCAGAGAAGCCTGTGCCTGGGGAGGGCCACAGTGGGGAAGCCCTGGAGGGTCTCAGCTGGTGTCGGCCAGCCAGGGAAGCAGAGGGGAGGGTGGGCAGCGCCTTGCCGAGTGCTGGCTTTGAGGCACGGCACCAGGGGTGAGCGAATCAGAGTCTGAGCCCCATGTGAGTCCTGGGGCTGGTGACTGAGACCGCCAAGACGTCAGGTGTGCTATCCTGGCCTCGAGCAGGTGCTGAGGGGCTGTGGGTTTGGGGGTGGGTCAGGGGGCACAGAAGCCAGAGGTGGCTGTCCTCAAGCCACCATGCTTGGAGTGGTCAGAGACGTCCCTGAACACGGGGGTGCCGTGTCGTGGTGTCAGATTCTGACGGACAAGTAGAATAAGGGAGGACAGTGATGGGCAGTGGGACGGACGACCCGCTTCCTTTCCCAGCTCAGTGGGCGCTTCCACCTTTCGGGTTTGTGTGCGGCCTGCCTCCTGTGCGCTTCCTTCATGTGCTCACGAGCCTGGGCTTCCTTCCTTGCCAGAAGGGAAAGAAGGAACTAGTTTTCTGGCCTGCGGAGCCACAGGGCCCCTTCTTAACTCACCCTCAGGTCACTGTGTGTTGATGGTGTGGGTCCTGTTCAGGGCCTCCTTCCATCTCTCCTGATTGCAGTTCCAAACAGGGTTTGGCGGCTCGCTCCCTGCCCCTCGTGGTCACATGGGGAGGTCCTGCTTGGGTCCTGTTATTCCTGCAAGAACAGACTGCAGTGTTGGTGGCTGTCTGTGCTGCGGTTTCAGCACCACGGAGCCTGGTCCATATGTGGATGCTTTGCTGGTGGACCTGGGACAGTGCAGGCACCCGCTGCACCCCCAGCTCAGCAGCTGTGGACCTGCAGTGCCCGTCACCCCTGGCTGAAGCAGACCCTGGCCCGTGCCTCCCTCAGCACAGACCCTGGCGTTTGCATTGCAGGCAGGACTTCCACCAGTGGGCCATCCACCAGCACTTCCTCCCCGCGCCCTCTGCCACCGGGGGCTGCGATGGAGACCTGGAAGTCGCCTGTGCCACGCTCGTCGACGTGCTCATGGACTTCTGCCAAAGGTTAGGAATGTTAGTGCCCAGAAGAGTCTGTCTTTTGATTTTGGTAGCTCTAAGAACGTTTTTATTTCTCTTAGTCCAGTTTGTGTTATACAGAGCATAGTTGGAACATATCCTGATCGCAAGTTTGGGTTTTCCAGATAAAGGCAAGCTTCCGGAATCAGCTTTCTCTCTGTGCATAGATTTGCCAGTGGCAGTGACTTGGTCTTTCTGCTCTGTCTCCTGGTATCAGGGTTATTAGCAAATGTGACGAGAATAAAAGGTCCAGCAAGTGGTGGGCGCCAGTGTTGTCACCCACCGTGCAGGAAGCACTGGCGTGGACTGCCTGCCATGAAAGGCAGGCGTTCCTGGTACCATATGGGCTGTGCCAGGTGTGGCCTTCTGACGTGGCCTGTTTTTCTCATCGTCCTCGTGGTTGCTGTGTCGAGGTGGTACGTCGTGTTATCTCATTATGGTTTTGATTTGCTTTTCCCTGATGGCTTATGATGTTGAGCATCTTTTCATGTGCTGGTTGACCATTTATGTTATCTTTTTTGGACAAATGTCTGATCAGATCCTTTGCCTATCCTTTGCCTATTTGCTTATTGAGTCATAAGAGTTCTTTATATACCCTAGATACTTGGTCCTTACCAGATATATGAGTTGCAGATATTTTCTTTCATTCCGTGAGTCATCGGTTCACTCCCTAGAAGGGGTACTTTGATGCACAAAAGTTTTAAATTTTGAAGAAGCCTTATTCATCTATTTTTAGATTTAGGTCTTATTTTTAGGCCTCTGATCCACTCTGCATTAATTTTTTATATGGTGTGAGGTAGGGATCTGGCCCCATTCTTCTGTATGTGGATATCCAGTTGTCCCCTTTTGTTGAAGAGACTGTCCTTTCCCTGTTGAATGGTCTTGGTACTCCTGTGGAAAGTCCATTAGCCATACATGTGAGAGTTCACCTCTGGACTCCTGATTCTGTTCTACTTATCTATATGTCTATCCTTGTGCCAGGACCACACCATTTTGATTACTATAGCTTTGTAGTAAGTTTTAAAATTGGAAAATGTGGGGATTTCTTGGCGGTCCAGTGGTTAGGACTCTGCACTTTCACTGCTAAGGGCCTGGGTTCAATCCCTAGTCGGGTAACAAGTTCCAACGAGCCACGTGGCATGGCCAACACTAAATAAATTTTAAAAATTGGAAAATGTGAATCCTCCAACTTTGTCCTTTTTCAGGATTGTTTTTGGCTATTCTGGGTCCCTTGCACTTCCACCTGAATTTTAGGATCAACTTAACCACTTTCTGCAAAATGAGATGAGATTCTGATAATGACTGCATTGTATCTGTAGATCAGTTTGGGCAGCATTGCCATCTTCCTATCCATGAACATGGGGTGGCTTTCCATTTGTTAAGGTCATCTTTAATATTTTCAACAATGTTTTATAGTTTTTAGCACACAACTCTTGCATCTCCCTGATTAAATTTATTCTTAAGTGTTTTATTCTTTTCAGCACCATAGGCTCATTGCTTTAATTTCACTTATTTGCTCTGATGGTTTTTTATTGTGAATTCTTTAGGATTTTCTATATATAAGGTCTTGAAATCTGCCAGTAGAGATGGTTTAACTTTTTCTTTTCCAATCTGGATGCCTTATATGTACTGATTTATTTATTTGCTGAATTGTCCTGGCCAGAACTTGACAGGGCAACGTTGACTGGAAGTGGTATGAGCGGACAGTTTGTCCTGGTCCTGATCTTAGGAGGACAGTTTTCAGTCTTTCATCATTAAGTACGGTGTGAACTGTGGGTTTTTCATAGATGCCCTTTGACAGGTTGAGGAAGGTGCCTTTTACTCCTAGTTTGTTGTTTTTTGTCTTTTTTTAAAATCATGAAGGGGTATAGCATTTAATTTAATGCTTTATCTGTGTGGTTTTTGGTTTTTATTCTACTCATATGTTTATTGCATTAATTGATTCTTGCATGTTGAGCCAACCTTGCATTCTTGGGATAAATCCCACTTGGTCATGGCATGTAATTGTTTTGATGTGTTGCTTGAGTTGGTTGCTGGCTTTTTGCTGTTGTTGGCACACCGTGAGTGTCCTGCAGTCTCCGGGTACCTCCTGGCCCTGTGACCACAGGCCACCCTGGAGGCCGGAGGAGAAGCAGGCAGCCCAGCACAGTTAGGAGACACTTAGGAGGCTTTCACTGTGTGTTCATTTCAGGTCAAGGAGTTATGATCACTCAGAGAATTCTGATTTGGTTCTTGGTGGCTGCACAGGAAATCGGGATATATTTTCCAGATTGCAGGTGAGTTAGAAGATGTAAAACTCAAGTGTGTCCACTGCATTTAAGCCACGTGCTATTAAGATATTATGAATATCCACAGTGAGTCCTAAGGAGCCTGACCAGAATGAAAGCTTGAGTCACACACACAATGGCTTAGACCAGAGAGGCCATGTGCTCTGTGAACTCACCTCACTGTGAACATCACAGGAACATGGAAACGAAAACTGTAATATGGGAAGCATCTCCAGGCTTTAGGACGTTTAAAATTTGAAAACAGGAAGTAAAAATACCGACTTTGGTAGCAACATGGTTGCTACTCCTGTTTTCTGCTTTTTAACTCTTGGTGCTGCATTGGGAGGTCAGGCTCTGAGAATTGATATAAATAACCCTCCACTTGGCCGAGGATCAAGAGTTTGCAGATATCGGAGGCTGGGAGACTCTCCTGTTTCCCAGGTCACTTGGCAGCAAGGCAGTGGCACTTTTAGGAGAGTGCAGAAACCATGTTTCTCACATTGAAGTGAAAGGTGCGTTTCTGTCAGCATCCAGCTCTCCCCAGATCTGTTGAGCGTGAACTCTGGGGTCAGAGTGCAGAGCAAGGCCCCATCCTGCATGCTCGTCCACTGTGTGCACTGGGGGTCCGTAACTTTGGAAGAGTACTTGCAATTCTGTATAATAGGATTCGGTGTTCCCGCTGTCACTCTTAAAAAAGTGCCTGACTTTAGAACATGTGGGGAATGAAAGAGAAATCATGGAGGATGTGGTCTGGAGCACTGGGAAAATGTACTTAAAAGTGAGTAAAACATCCCACAGAGAAAGGACCCGAGTACCCCAAGCCCTCATCTTGACCTTCGTCCTCCACGTCTGTCATAACTGAACGTGGAAGAAAGTGACCTGTGAGGGCAGACACAGCGGGAGACGTGGGGTTGGGGTCACACATGACGGGGCGATGATGAGACGGGTGCTCTGCATCTGGGGGGTGAGACAACACACGTGTGCCTGCAGGCTGTGTGTGCGCCTCACCTGTGTGATTCACCCTCAGGCTGTGCACACACCCCCACCTGCACAGGGGAGCAGGTGATAAACGGGTAAAGTGTTAGCCATGGGGAGTCTGGGGAAGGGTGTTCTTTGCACTGTTCTCTCTGCATTTTTGCAAAATCCTGCAGTTGTTCAGTCATTTCCAAGTGAAAAGGCTAGTTGCACTCGCCCTGCGGGCCCCACCTCAGGGCCCTGCGGGCCCCACCTCAGGGCCCGGCTGGCCCCACCTCAGGGCCCGGCTGGGAGCGAGAGGCCCCAGGATTTCTGCCTCTGGCCGGCTCTCTTCCAGGAGCTGGCTGCTGACCTGGAGCAGGGCCCAGCGCCCCTCGGCCGTGCTGCTCCCCGGGGCCACTTCCTCTTTGGAGTTTTCTGCAGACGCCTCCAGGCCCTGGCTCGAGGGTGGGACGTGGCCAGCCGCCTGCAGCGACAGCAGGAGCTGCTCATGTGCAAACGGTAACACGGCTCGTGCCCCAGGGTCTGTCTTCACCTTGGGTTCTCTCCCCAGTAGTTGCTCGTCTCTGGCCCCCGCCCCAGCCCGGGACGGCATCTTCCCCGGGTGCCCTGGAGAGCAGGGTCTAGAGGCGTGAAAGCAACTGGGGGTGAAAGTTCTCCTCCTGGGCTTCAGAAACGCCTCAGTTCAAAGGCCTCGCGTGGAACGTGCGCTCGGGGCCCTCGCTGCATCACGGCTCAGCCGTGGTGTCCTTCCTGGTCTCGTGAACTGGTTGGTTAACGTGCTGCTCCCTGCCCTTGGTCATCGGGTAACATCACAGCTGGTCTGGGGACACGCAGTGAGTGTCCGTCGGCCCAGGAGGGCAACAGGCCACAGACCAGGGCCAGTTCCGAGCGGGCTGGGAGGGTTGGCAGTGTTCCGAGCGTAGCTCTCTGGGTCACCGTCCGTGCCTCCCTCCTCCCAGCATCCTCCTCGGCCTGCCCCCCTCCGTGCTTGTCGGCAGCCCCCGCTCGGAGCAGCTGGCCGCCCCCGACTGCGATGACTTCTTCCGCTTGGTCAACTCGGAGCTGGTAGGCGCAGGGCAAGTGAGCTGGGTTGTGGGGTCGAGGGGCCACGTGGGCACCTCTGGAAAACTCACCAGCGCATCCGTGGTCACGTGGAGCCAACGGCCTCAGTGCGTGTCCTGCCTCTGAGGGTAGGACGTGGCGCTCGGAGCCGCGGGTGAGCCCTTCACCTGGCTCAGCACCGGCCTGCGAGGCTGGAGACCGGGCAGCCCCGTCCTCCGGAGCACGACTCCTCCACGGAAGCTTCCCCAGGGTGACCGGCTTGGGCCCTGCATGTGCAGACCATCCTGCCCGCCTTGCCTCCCCTCCGTCGGTTTCTTTTGGGGGCACGGAAGCCAGATGGTGCGGTGCCCTGGCTCTTGTCAGGGGCTCCGAAGGGTGACATCCCTGTGACCTGCATGCGGTCAGGGTCAGGGAGGTGCCGTGCATAAGTGCTCCCCTGCCCACTGCAGGGGAACGGCTCCTACACCAAAGATGGGTTCCCGCTTTTTAGAAATGCACACGTGACTAGAGCTTGACCTGAGGTTCTGTTCATTTGTGTGGAACTTTAAAAGGTAACTGGGGAAGCAGCAGAAATGAGATGAGATTTTCTTTAAGTTCGTTCTAAAGGCTGTTTCCCTTCGAGCCTCGAGAACGGCCTGTGAAAGCAGCCAGGGGGGACACGGCAGGGACAGCACCTGGCCCCCCCGCCTGGGCCCATGGGGCTTGCGCCATGGCTGGCGGGCACGGGGGTGGACGCGAAGCCACACGGAGCCAGCCCTCCATGGACCGTGGCGGTGCCGTCCTGCCGCGTGTCCTTACGCGGTGGAGCCTCCAGCAGCTGCCCGCCCTGTCCTGCGCGTGCTCCCTCACTGGCCTCTACCGTTTCGCAGCGAAACTTCTCCCACGACGGCGCCCTGACCCACGACATCACGGCCCACTTCTTCAGGGTAATTTCCTTTCCCTCTGCCCCTCCAGCGTCGCTGCTCACTCAGACCCCAGGGCTAGGCCCTTGCGTGCGTGGCAGCTCCCGGGGCCCGGGTCCACAGCCCTGCGTGCAAACCCTGCGTGCGGGCGTGTCTCCCCGCAGGGGCTCCTCAACGCCTGTTCACGAAGCAGAGACCCCTCCCTGGCAGCCGACCTGACCCTGACTGCCTGCCAGACCCAGTGCCCCTTGCTTCTGACCTCTGCTCTGGTAGGCTCCCCATCTTCTCAGGGGCGTTCCTGGACCTGGTGCAGCCAGGGTCCGCCCAGGGCTTCCTGGCAGCGTGACTCAGGGGAAGCTGCACCAGGAGCAGTTGGGACAGAGCACAGGAGTTGGGGTGGGGCTCCTCAGGAGTCTCTGTGCCCGGAGCCGTTCACGCTCCTACTTGCTCTGTGCTGACTGGAGCTGAGCGGGGCCTGCTGCTCTGCTGGTCCGGCTGTTGCCCCAGCCCCTACTGGCCCGGCCTTCTCATGACGTTCCGCGGGTGGGGCTCCCACGCGGGCTCTCTCACCCGCTCTCGGTTTTGTCGGGAGGGAGGACGCAGCGCGTTCCTTGCGGGCTCCCTGGGCGGCTGTGGCCTCTGGCTCACGGCTCTGCAGCTCAGCAGGGCCGTCCAAGGACCGGGCCATCCTCTGTCCACATCCTGCGTCCTCCGCGGATGAGGATGAGCATGCCTCACGGAGCTGCTTTGGGCCTTAAATGAGACGCTGTCCTTGCGGTTATGAAGCACTTGATGAGCGGGAGACAGGCTCTGGGGGTGTCGGCCTGCGGGCAGACGTTGCCCGCGCAGATCGCCAGCATCACCCAAGGCTTCCCGATCTTCTTGGTGAGGTGGGGGGAACTGACCTGTTGGTGCCCGTTCTCTCCCATGAGCTGTGGTGGCCGCACCTGGAGCCTGAGCTTCACCGCCGCTGGAGGAGATGCTCCCAGAGCCCGCTGCCTGCAGAGCTGCGGAGGCTGCAGGAGGCCCGGCACTTTGCCGGGAGGTGAGTGCGGGCAGCGGGACCCACTCTGGGTTACGTGCATGGTGTCTCGGGAGCTGGAGGGGGCCCTGGGGAGGCTCTGTGAGGCCCACGTGTGGAAGGGGGAAGCAGAGCCGAGCGGACACGTTCCCGTCAGACTGGCGTCCGGGGTCCACCTGCCCGTCTCCACGCACATCCGAGTGGTGCTGTCCTCGGAGGTCACAGCAGGGACTGCTGGCCCCATCCAGCCTCCCTACATTTTCCTTTGTGACCCGTTTTTATCCGAGGCACCTGTGTCCCCCCTCAAAGGGTCAGGGATGCTCGAAATCTCAGAAAACGAGGAAACCAAGTCTGCCCACTGAGTCTAATTCTGCAAAGAGCAGAGAACTTTCTTAAATCACTGCATTATATTCCATTTTTAATTTTCGGCCCAGTTTTAACCTGCTGGAGAACGGTGAACATCACACGGCAGTCAGAGTGGGGGCTGAGTAGAAGGCGGGTGCAGACTCTGGGGGGAGGACTCCTTGCAAAGCTGAGGCTGCTGGGACCAGGCGCCCCCTCCAGGCATACCGCTCCCTGTGTCCGGGGCAGAGGGGCATGTTGACAGCCAAGGGCCAGCCTGTGGAGACCGGTTGGGGGGCCGGGGGGGGGGGGGCGCTTTGGGTTCTGGCTGGGAGGGGCGGGGGGCCCTTTGGGGGACACACA